CATGTTTAGTGTCCTACCTTTTTGAAAAATAGGAAGGAGGCCTTTTTTTTCTCCTTTTTTTCTCAAAATGGCAGCTCGGTATATTTTCCCTGACAGTCAGGCTATTTTTCAAGATGGCCGCTGGCATTTTTTTATTTAAAAAAAAAAAAAAAAAAAAATCAGAAATTAATCATTTTAGCAGTGTGTTTTTCATGTTTAAAAAATAAATAAATAAATTAAAAATTAAAAAAAAAAACATATTTAAAAAAGAGAAGAAAAAAAAGGAGGCGGCCCCCACAGGAAACGGGCGGGAACGCTAAACATGTATTTTTTTTTTAATGGCCTAATTGGTTGAAGATGGCATTTCTTTTTTTTCCTCACGTATTCTAGTGTTCTGACAGAAGAGCAGGCATTTATTGAGCATAAATAAACATGTATGTACTTGTAAGTATATTTCACTCATTCATCCTGGATAAAACCTTGTTTAACCTTGTTTTGGTATTTAATCCACAAGTCGTAGAATCTTTTTAAGTCCACGTACAGTGTACATGTACATTTATACAACAGCATTCACATCTACATCTGGGTCTATTGGCAATACAGATGTGGCCTAAAATTAATTAACTCAGTGGATGCCTGCTTCAATTCAAAGTTCTATTTTAAAGTGAAAGTACATTGTGGTTTTAAATGTCAGTGATCCCAGTCCCCAGCTCTTCGTCTGCCATAGCTCCACCCTAACATTTCCTACCGTCTAGAATACTGTAGACCCGTCTTCATCATCTCGAAATTGCCAAATATCCTGCTGTTTGAACTATCTCAATCGCATATTATCCAGATAATTTGCGTCTTCAACAGCTCGAAGTTGCAATTAGCGGGATATTTGGTCGAGATAATCATCCCAAGATATCTTGGGCTAGTTTGCAAAATATCCCGCTATTTGTCTGTTGCGTCCTCACCAGCCAGAAGACTTGCACTATGCGCGAACGCTGAGCAAAATATCTTGAGCTAATTTCTTGAGCTCCAGTTTCAAGTTTCGAGGTCAAGTCTCGAGCTGGTGAAGACGCGATTTGTAACTTCGGGATTATTTCCCAAATCAGAAATAGCTGGCTATTTGGCAATCTCGAGCTGATGAGGACAGGCCTAATGTGATCCGTTGGAGAGGATGAGTCAACGTTGCATTGATTTGATAAGGTTTGGGACGGGAGCAGGGTTGCCAATCAACAACATTACATTGATGTGAGCAACATGATGAAGTCACTTCTAAAGATTCATGTTGTAGACAAGACTTGATTTAACTTGGTGGGTGGGGGGGGGGGGGGGGGGAGAGGGTTGAATAAAAAAATTCTGTTGACCAAATTTGCTCCAGACAGCAAGACTTATACCAACACCCATGTTTCTTGAATGAAACAATTTTCTCCCCCGAAAAAGAAGAATAAACACTATGTACATAAACTGTAATCTGTAATCAATGTATTGGCATTTCTTTTTGCAGTGTTTCTATAAAGTGCCATAAGAACAACACCCAGAAGATTTAATAAAATTCTTCCCCAAAAATGTATGATATTTTAATGGAAAAATAAATGAAATGGAAGAAAAAAATGAATGAAATGATTATTTTTGCATAACTTGCAAATGTACATGTACATGTATGTATGTGATTGTAAATTACAATGTAATGTACATTGTAACATTTTGTACATTGTAAAAAAATCCTAACCTACTGGATCATCTGGAAGCAAGTTACCTCAATGACATTTTATGTTAAATAAAGATGTCTACCTCGTGCACCAAACATCCAGTTAAAGACATGAGGGCCTCCCCTCGAAATTCGCCACCTTTATGTGACCAAGCGAGAGCTGCACTGTTACGGAGTAATGTCCCTGCTCGCATTCTTGACATGTGTTAACATACTGAGAGGTACATTGGAAACAGAAGGGGCCCATCTCCAGGGTCGATGTTAATACTACAGTATACATGTACCGGTACACCATTTCTTGATACGTACTGCACATGTAGTCAGTGCGTCTCAGAAAAAACGAAACTGAGAATTATCGATGTTTTATCATAACTTAATCAAATTTAAAATTAATAAATGACACAATTTGGAAAGCTTACATGTAGATTCTCCTCTTTCATTTGATGCAACTCATATAATACATATTTCACGCATGAGTGATTAAAATGAATTTGAAGAGAGGAAACCAAAAAGTCATTTGGCGGACGGTATCTGAGTTTCAAGGGGAAAATCACATTTTTAGAAGGTTGAGTTTCTGCCCTTTCATATGACACCTCAATCAGGAAAAATGAGCAAGGAATGACAAACTTCTGTTTGTTTGAAGTAGTACTTGCATTTCCATAATTTTATCAAACGAATTCATTTTCACTGGGTGCCTGCCGTAGCAACAAACTGAGTTGACAAAAGACTTAACTCCATTTCATTGACAATCAGCCGTAGACGAAAGACTCCATGCATGGCTGATTGTCAACGAAACGGAGTTAAGTCTGTTGTCAATTATGCATGCTGCTATTGCAGGCACCCAGTGTTTCGTTTTTTCTGGGACGCACTGTATAGAGAGATACATTTGAAATAAAATCGCGGACTTGAAACACCAGATATAAAGTACATAAATTGTAATCACAGAAAGGTGTTGCCACTAGGGTAAGGGTATATTTGAAAATGTGTATTAAACGAGCAAAAAGGTACATTCATGCAGCCTAATGGATGTAAAGAGGCTCTTTGTAAAAGACTACGTACATGTACATGTATGTATATCGTAGGGCATATTCTGAGGCATGTGTGTTATCGTTGGCTTGATAGTAACAGGTACTTTGTCATTATCAATCACTAGCTCACCGACAGCTTCATTGGCAGGGGAGTGCTGGTAGACTAATTGATTGCTATATTTGACATTTACACATACAGTACATGTAGCTATTGTATTAGACTGAATAGAAACAGACTGATGCAATGTACAGGTGCATTCTAATTTCAAAGATCATTCAAGCTTTAGCTATAAATGTACATTGAACATGCAGCCTAGGTGCCAAGTAAAATCATTGGCCAGTAAACTAATGAAGGCATAATTACGTGTAGTACTGATTTTAGCCCTGGTCAATCTCTTTCTAGTAAGGCAAAGTTAATTCACTGATTTATGAAGTGCCATACATGTACATGTTGACATACAGTGTAACCTGCACTGTATTTAACTTGTAAAATTACCATTATATATCAAGAAAACGGTTCCTGTACCTGAAATCTGTGTTTTCATTAATTGTAACAAAACCATAATCCATCATGAAGTACAGGGTACATACATTTAAGAAATACTGCATAAGGTACATGTCATGTACATGTAGGTTTTTCACAACTCCTATACATTACTTCTAAAGACCTACACTGTACACATTACAAGTTACATGTACAATGCTTTCAAACCTGTCAGACAAAAAAAATCATCCATAACAAAACAGGACAAAGATCCAGCTTTGTCATCTCACTTGAAATAGCAAAAGGTTGATTGGGCGATAATATTTAACCAGTCAGCGCCAGTTTCTCTCCACATGCTAAGTAAACACACCGAAGCGCCTCTGCAAACATTATACACACTACACGTACTGTACATGTAAACACAACGAGCTTGCAACATAACAAGCAGAATGACGATGTTATTGTGCGTAGAAATGAATTTTGATATGTATTATGCACTCGAAAATTACATTTTGAGGCAATCTTTGTCCGTGTATGCTTTCTGTAAATTGCAGATAGAGATCTGCATTATAATGTCATTGAAAATTAAATCGAATTTAAATAAAGGTTTAATCCATGTGTAATTCATTTTTAATGTACATTACAGTACATACATGTAATCAACTTCATGTTTCATACTTATTGACAGTTTTGCATTCGTTCGCAAGTCTTTCACGTTTGATTTACTCCTAGATGATCTTACCATACCAGAGAGTAATTGTGGCAAATTGCTTGATTGTGTCGATTCTGCCATCTGTTCACTGTTCAGGTTCTTGTTGGTAGGAATAGTGAGTGACATGTACATGTACATGTACACCAAATGGAGGCCTACATATGCAGCACATACTCTACTACATATGACATTTTGTGTTTGGGGTATAACCGGGCCCTGTAAGCACATACAATGTACTATTCATGTACATGTACAGTATGCATGATTTTTTGATTTTGTATCACTTTATTATCAATCTATTCTTCAATAAAGGAACATGGTATAAACATAAAAGAATTGCACAGCCACAGACATATAATAAGAGTAGTCCAGGTCATGGCTCATAACTGCCAAAGCAGGGCATACAATACAAAACATATAAGACATAAAGATGTTATAAAACATGATTGCCGAGATCTTTAACAGTAGTTGTGTTCATGTCAAATTGTTTCGTTTCAGATTAAGAAAAATACACAATTTATAATTCACTTTACTCAATTAATGTATACAAATGCTTAATCGTTTTGGAGGAATAGAGGGCTCACGTAGGATATAAATAATATTATGTGCATTGTGCACCTGTGTATTTCTTTGAACATGTTTAATACCACTACACTACAGGTACATGTGTATTTTAAGTCAACCAATATTTGTAGTACCCTGTTACTGTACATGTAGTACATGTATGTACTGTTATTCTCAAGTCTTCAGGATAACGCTCATCATACAGTGTACAGCAAGGCATTGATCTACATTTGCCACTCCATACCCAGGAGAGAAATGGGGACCTGGTAGGATGACAAAAGCCTTTTGTACACTGTGTACCTCTTGCAAGTGTGAAATATTAAAGGGTGTCTTCTAGTACAGTAAACCAGTCCTATCAATCATCAAAAAATGAAATAAGCACCCAAGACAACTAACTGTACAGTACATGTACACATGCATGAGCCATCCAAATGGTAAGATTAAGAGCATACAGGGGAAATTTGCCATCCTTATCGCATCTAAAATCTGGGTTAATACAAGTTCAACTATTTTCAAGAAAATATGTATGAAACTTACCAGGATCAGAAGTATTTGTGATCTGCACATTTAGTATTTCCTGGGGATTGGTACTATAGGCTTCATAATCCACACTTTGTAAAAGTGTCACATCTCCAGACATCTCATCAATGGAGAACTTGTCGTTGACGGGAGTCCCCATGGCGTAGCGCAGATCAGCACCTGTTTCTGTGATCGTGTGGACAACAGTGTCCATTGCTGTCGACTCTGTAAGATTGACAGACTCTCCAGGAAGGACGTCTCGCCGGACACGGACCATCTTCACAGGTTCATTGGGAGGATACATTATGTCATCCCCAAACGGACGAAAATTGTTGGACAATGGACGAACGATAATGGTTACCTCTGCAGGAAGAGACATGAGGGGTGGGTTCCCAAGGAGGTCTTGAGCTGAAGCTTTAATTTCCATATGAAATTGTGAGGTTGTCTCACTATCCACAGGAACAGAGGTGAAGATCTGAACTCTGCCTTCAGGATTGACTTGAAGCCTGAAATTAGCACTGTCCTCTCCAGCCAGCTGGTATGATACAGGCTTTGTTGAAGCTATCTGGAGATCATCCAGACCCATTACTTCCTGGATTGCTTCGTGGCTCTCAAAGACGTATCCTCTGTACGACTTTTTTGAAAATTCAAGAGAAGTGTCCTCGACATGTAAATTTAAGAGATCGTCCCATGACTGACCTCGAAGTGTGTGTCTAACTTTGAGAGCAATGTCACTGTTGGCCAGGTGCTCGAGTGAGTTCTTGATTTCCAAAGCACCATTTTCAGCTATCTGGAACAGATTGTGAACATCGGAGTCTGAAAGAAGTTCTGAAAACTGCCCACTTTTCTTTACTTCAGTCACTTTAAATCCTGGCAAGGCATTGGAAGGCACATTGATTCGAGGCAAAGCGAGGCCGAGTGTTAGTTGTAGTGTGGCTAATATATATATTACAGATAAACACAAATTATGTGTCCTGTTCCACCTCAGATTTACAGCCATCGTTTCCTTTAATGTTTTACTTATTTCAGAAGAAATTGCTGAAGCTTTTCTTAACTTAGAAGATTTAGTGATGACAAAAATTGCACAATGGTTGTTCTACATGGTATATTATCACAGTTGGTAGTTGCTTCCTCTTGATCTCTCCTGCAAGTAAGAAAAAATGAAGGAAAAATGGAGGAATGGTTAATCACATTCAGCAATGAGCATATTTTCAAATACCTCTTCAAATTCAAAAAAATAAATATTCATTTTGAAATGTCAAAATAAGGTTAATAGACATTTAATAAAATCGAGTACAGTTTAATTATTGCATAAACACTGTATATCTGACATTTTATCCATACATTGTACAGTGTACTTTTCCTTTAAGCCCATTGTGATGAAAGGGAGGTTATACTTTTAAAATGAATAAAAACTGGAAGATCAATGTCCAAAGGGCTTGCAGAATAGGTATTTATTGCATTCTTTAAAATGATTTCTATGACATAATACATTTAGTGAAAATAGCAACAAAATATACTACTTTACCAACATAAGGTTTCACAAAATGTTTAAAAAACATCAAAGGAATTTATCCAGGTCCATTAAAAAAAAAAGATTGAAAACAATTAACAAAACAAAACAACATCTCTTCATGTCATTTCATCATAATCTTTTTTGATGGCACTACATTTACATTCTCTCTCTCCAAAAAGACAACAATGTGGATTGCTTAACAATCTACATGTAACATTTCATACTTTCTTTTATTCAAGAATCTCAACTAACCACAGGTCTTAACCAAAATGATTATTATTTCACAAACCCTTACATTTCATATTTTGGAGAATAGTCAAAGACCAATGAAAATGATGAGAATTTATTTCTATAATTTAATTGAGCAATGATTCCTCCTGAAGTTCTGATCAATTATCTTATAACTTGAATGTAAAAAAATTCACAACACAAACAAATTAGTTCTTCCTGAAACTAGTAGTAGTAGTAGTGAGACAATATGAGATTAACAGTCAGCAGTCTTACAGTAGGCCTATACTTAGTTTTATGAGAACCACCCTTTTTGCTAATGCCAATGTCATCGTGGCAAAGGCAATTTCAAACTCAAAGACAACTGCAAATCAGTTTGTTTCGAGTTTGACTGTGTCATTCAATAGCACAAGCTCATACTCATAGTATACGTCACAAGTCTAGCTTAATTATGGAGTAAGTAGATCTAGACAGAAATAACCGTCTGGTATAGGCCTAAGGCATTCTTTAATAAGAACTGACATTTGTCGACCTTCGGCCTTCCTACTACTAGTACTAAAGTAGACCGAATTTTCCGTCTCTTTCGTTCGTTAGCCTCTTATTGGGGTAGGGAGAGCCGACCCTACCCCAATAAGAGGCTAACGAACGAAAGAGACGGAAAATTCGGTCTAGTACTAAAGATGCAGCAAACTACAGTACTACTGTCAGTAGTAGTTAGTACAGGGCCCGGGCCGGGCCAGGATGCCGCGACGGATCGAGAAGCTAAGGCGTACGTAGGGCCAGGAGTGCCACTTGGGTGGTGATCAACAGTTGCGGATGTTCTCCCTTATTACCATCTCCATTGATTCATCAACACTAAATAAAATATACATAATAATATTATTGACGATTATGTAATTGGTGGGGTTTGAGAAATCTTACCAATTAGCAGTTATCTCGTTTTAGGAAGATGTATTCTGTAGCGGTACTTTCCTCAAATCGCGTTTGACTTGAATATTATGTGTGTTCTGAGCGTGCGGGCCTAAATGCGACGAGCGTGCGCGTCCGCGACCGCATATCAAATTCCGAAGTAAAAAGTCACACAACGGTTAATTCAATGGATTGTTTTGCCGTTCCAATCATTCTTTTTACACCCTTTTGATTCAAACTGATGTAAACGTATCTACGCTTGATTGCGTTTTTATTTCAATCATGATAATTTTTTCAATACACTATATATTACATTACAAATTAGTACCCTGCATTATGTAAAGGTAGAGATTGTACCAATACAATTATATAAATCTTTACCTCTTGCAAGGGTGCAAGTTGCATAAAGTGAATGCTTATTCATTATTGACAGTTTGCGGGGGGGGGGGGGTATCTAATCGAAATAGAAGAGTCTTTTGTTTTACCCTAGCTATAATACCGGTAGCCAACTACATGTATCCAGAACCATTAAGGACAGGCAAGAGGAAAGCTAACTAATGTGTTACAAGACATAATCAAAACTTCAGAGAGACAATTTATCCATCGCGGTTGTGTCGATGATATGAGTTAGGGAGGGATTACCCGACAGCGATGACCTCATAACTCACTCACCTGTGAATGATGGGCGGGGTCATGTGCCGAATATGGTTATTCGTAGCGATAAGAATAGATCAAAGTGTAATACCGGAAGTATGCCGCTTCCGAAGCTAAGTTTCTCTTCGTCTTCAACTTGAATTCAAGCTTTATATTAATTAGTGGACTTTTGATCCTATCAATCTCTTCTTTACATTATTTATTTCTCGTTCTCTCTTCTTATCTCCCTTTTCTTCATTATCTCCCACTTCCATGCTTCAAAATGTTTTTTTGATGAAGCATCACATCGTAGCATCGTATCAGAACAATTACCCCCTGGAAAATTACCCCTCCAGAAATGACCCCCGGAAAACTATCCCACAGGGCCCGAGGACATAAATATTACCCCACCCCCCCCCCCCCCCGGCCCACCAAGGACAAAATTTACCCCCACCCCTGAAAATTACAATCTAGGACAACATTACACACCCCCTCCCTTCCCGCCAGGACAACCAATGACAACCACCCCGAGGAAAATTCCCCCCCCCCCTCCCGAAAATTACCCCCTGTTCATTTCAGTTTCAGTTTCAGTTTCAGTTTATTTTCATATTTCTCACATGTTGTATAGTACATCATTACATATAGCATGTTACATTTTGAACTCATTTTAGGATGCGTTTATACAAAAAAAAAGAAAAAAGAATGATACATAAGACTAAGTTGAATAAGGGAAGAAATATGATGGAGCCTAAAGAGAAAGCAATGCTTGAAGGTCATAGGCTCCGGAAGTCCACCCTGATAATCAGTTGGTTTTAATAAAAGATTTTTTTTTTTTTTTTTGGGGGGGGGGGGGGGTAATTGTAAATGGGGGTCATTATCCTCCGGGGTAATTTTGATATTGTCCTCGGGGGTAATTTTCCGGGGGTTAATTGATCTCGGGATAACTGTCCTCTTTGGTGGTTGTCCTGGGGGGGGGGGGGGTAATTTCATGGGGGTAGTTGTCCTTGGGGGTAATTGTTCCGCTTGTATTTGGCCGGTGATTGCCCAGGGGTAATTGTCCTAGAACCTATATTCATATGTATAAGTGACCCATATCATATTTGAAGATTTTTATTGCAATTAACGACGACTTCCTTTTTTAAAAATAAATCTTGGCCTTATCAAACATGCACAGGAAGAAAATAGAAAAGCAAAAATAAATGAGAGTTTTTAAGAAATGAACGTTCTATAATTAAGTTATGGTGCACAATCAATCGCTTTGCTCCATCGCGAGTATTCTAATTACTGCATCATTATTCTTCGTTCCCTATCAGTCTAATATGCGCATTTGTGTATATTGCACCAATTCTCTATAACAAGCTGCCAAGTGACATTCGAAACATTCAAAGCCTAGAAACCTTTCAGAAACATGATAACAAGCTTTTTATTCACTCAGAGTTACTACTGCTATTAGGCCATTAGTGCCTTTTTGAAAATCAGGAAGGAGGAGGCCCTTTTTTTTTCCCTTTCTTTTTTCTCAAAATGGCCGCTCGGTACATTTTCCCTCACAGTCGGGCTATTTTTGAAGATGGCCGCCTTTTTAAAGTATTTATCAGAAATAGATCATTTTAGCAGTATCTTTTTCATGTTTTTATTCTTTATTTTTTAATATTTGTTAATGAATAAAAAAAAAAATTAAAAGAGAGATAAGAAAAAAAAGGAGACGGCCCCCAAAATGAAGCGGGCGGGGACACTAAACATTTTTTTTTTTTTTAATGGCCTTATTTTGTTAAATCCTGGTGAGAGATTTGTGTATTTTGTTTTGTATATGCCTAGCTAAGTTGTTATATAAACTGATACAAGTGCGCTTTATAAGTTATTATTATTATTTATTATCTGTATGTGCATGAATAGGGGTATCCCCGCTGTTCTCTGCTAGACAAGATACTGTTCTGTGGAATTTGGGTATTTGATAAATTGCAGCAAAACAACAGTGTCAGTGAGGGTAACAGACTAACAGGTGCAGATAACAAGTACAGTCACTCTCACCTCATAGCCATTAGCAACTGGTAAGTAGCACATTATCTACCGCCATCTCTTGGTGGAAAGCATAACATGTCCACCACCATCTAAATCTTGTGTTTTTTATGATCCCAAAGTCATGAATAAGTTACCATCTAGAATCATAGGGTCTATATCCAAATGCGTCATAACATGTGTAGTGACCGCCCCCGCCCCCCCCCCCCATTTTTTAAAATAAATTTGTTCTGTCAGAAAATTTGAATTTACTTTTTTTAAAGAGATATATCAGCAAGTTAAAAAAAAGAAAAAGCCATTTTCGCTTGTTGGAAATGTTAATAGGCCATGGTTTCATTCCCATTCTAGATTTTATGCAATTTGCAGCAAACGTATTCTTTGTAACAATGTTTAGCTAATAATATTTCTGGTAAATCTATTTTATTTCTTCTTATCAATATACTCCCTTGTTTTGATATATACCCTTTCATTTTTCGCTTTCTGTATCACCCGTGCGATCAATCTTTTTGTCTTTCGGCCCCTCTCATCTTTCATCTCTCTTTATATCCTTCATTCATCCCCTGCTCTCTCTCTGGCCCTTATTCTCAAGTCTGGTTTAGTTAAACCCGGGTTTAAAGTTAACCCCCACTTCAGAATACGGGCCTCTCTCTCCTTTCCTTTATTATCTCCCTTTCTCTGTTCTGTTATCTCTTACTCTCTCCTCCCTAACCCTTTATCACCTGCCTTTATTTATGTATTTTGTATCCCTCCTTCCCATTACTTTAGGTTTATATCGCCCTCTCCACTTTCATCTCTCTCTCCGCTTCTCTCCCTCACACCCTGTCTCTCTCTCTCTCTCTCTCTCACACACACTTCATCTCTCCCCTCTCACTATATCTCTCGTCTTATCTCTATCTCCCTCTTCCTCTCTTTACATTCTTACTAAATTTCTTTGATCTTTTTAACCCAAGCTCAGTTAAATAGCAATGAATTTAAATCTAGGCAATACAACTTGGAATAATACCGTCATAATAAAGCTCACAGCATAAGGTACTAACAGAAAGAATTAAACTGAGAATCTAAAAAGAAGACATTAAAAGAGGGAAATATAACTGAGGAACCACATGATGTAAATCGCCTGAAAAAAAACCCCAGAACACACCAAAATAAAAAGCTGCTGCTAACTAAAATGGTACAAGCATAGTGTGCATCACATCTCTATATCTTGTAAAAGAGATGTAATAGGGGCCATTGTTGCACAATATTTTTTAAGCCGACTGGCCATTCATTTACATGTGAAATGGTCATTATCTTTCCAGTTGCTCTTGGGAGGCAATTTACCACACCACACATGAACGAGAGGCCTTAAAACGACCCCTAAAAAATTACATATGCATAATGTGCTTCACAATTCCGTATCTTGTAATGAACAGAAGATTAATAGGGGCCATTTGGTGCAAATATATCCTTTTTTTCACCCCATTGGCCTTTCATTTACCACATGTAAAATTGTCTTTATTTTTGCAATGTTCTTTAGAGGCAGTTATCAAATCACATGCGAACAAGGCTTTAAACGTCCCCCATACCTCAATCTTTCATCAAGGCAAATACATAATATGTACTACAGAATCCAAAACATTATAAACATCTTATCGATATGATCCATTTGCAAAATGAAAAATTATCTGCCCACTTTTTGTTTCACGGCATGTCATAGCAAACATTATAGGCTATGGAGAAAAGATGACCTGTATCACAAAATGGACCAATAGGAATCGAATGCCATCTTTTCAAAGAACATAACGAACATCTATTTTTGGTTAGAAAAAAAATGCTGGAATGGCTGCGATGCTCTACTAGTATGCATACATCTTTAGGTACACATGACTCTCTGTTTGTGTGTGTGTGTGTGTGTGAGCTTGGGTGTGTGGATGTGGGTGTTGGGAGTATGTTTAAGGGAGGGGGGGGGGGGGAGAAAAGACAACAAATTTCCCTCAAGTATACTTTAATATTCATGATCATATATATGAAAATGTTTTCTAAACACTTTATGAAAATGTACTTTTGTTTACTTTTTATTATTGCAATTTATGTTTTATCCAAAATATCAATATACATACAATGTATCCAGTTTTGATGTGTACAATATGTATTTGATTTGAGGGAAAATAATAACAAATGTCTTTAAAAAAAAAATTACTCAAACACACACTATCAGTGGTATCATACATAACTTTATTCAAATATTGTCAGACAACTGAAGCACATCACAAATCAATTTAATTTCCCTCGTTAGACTTAGGAAAATGGCCACACTACTGACAATAGTGTCTTCACAGCGAGAGTCCCTTAAAGATTGCATGCATGGGTCAGTTTCAACATTGTTTCATCACAGGTAAGAAGTTCCGATTGTAATGCCCCAGAAGTTTTTAAAGCCATCCCATCTATGAGTAAGCCGATACCAACT